TAGTGATTAGGCTGTAGGGACCACCTCACCTTGTCTGACGACCGAAGAGACCCAGTGGTGAATACTGGGCGGGAAGTGCTGGAAGGTCTCCCACCTTGTCTGACGACTGGTAAATAATAACTTGGGCCCCATAAGAGCTGCTGGGCTGGACGACAGTAGGGTAATCCTAACCTTATCATTCGGATTTTGGGCAGCTGTGAGTAGGTAAAATGAATTAATAGTGATTAGGCTCTAGGGACCACCTCACCTTGTCTGACGACCGAAGAGACCCAGTGGTGAAAACTGGGCGGGAAGTGCTGGAAGGTCTCCCACCTAGTCTGACGACTGGTGAATCTGAGTGGTAAATAATATGGGAGGAGATATAGGTCCACCTTCCCGTGGTTCCTCCCGTAAGTACTGCTTTCAATACGAAGCAGTGCGACCAAGAGGCCTATCTATTAACAAATTACACTTTCCGTAAAGCATTTTGCCTGAGGTACACAATAGTTCACCTAAAATATCTTTCCAAGGCATTTAATAATTGATCAATATATGATATATTATGGACAATTACTACATTTATTGACTGCGACGTTTCAATGAGTGTTCTCTCACCGTTATCAAGCAAATAATACAATCATAAACATTATATATAGAGAGCTAGTAACAACAACTAATAACGGATTGAAAGGGACTATCGACCGGTGGGATCGTTTTTTCGCATTGCCCAACTTGCCGCATCGTCCCCAACTGCACAAAAACGACTTGTAAAACGAAAAAGGTTTCTGATAAAATCCGGAATGGCCAATCGAAAAAGAATTCGAAACTAGTTTAATGGTCAAATCTGGAAGAAAATAAATACCAAGTAGGCTACAAACGATCAGAACCGTAATACACAATAGATAAGATTGGTTATAACTTGCAAGAGTTATGTCCCTCTACTGCGTGCCTATAACGTCACACACGTGCTAGACAAAATGGCAACTGAAAGTAGAAATCTTCTCAACAGTAAAACAGAATTGTCAAGCGAGGAGAAATTTCAACTTAGATGTGCCCTATAATGTGGCACTTTTACGAGGAAATTGTACAAGTAATATTGTTAATTTCTCAGCGGCTGGTAAATGGTCAATTACGTCGTTATCGATAATTGTATCAAACTAATATGTTCTTAAATCCGCGTATAATGGACCATTCAAGCATAAAATGTGCTATAACAAGAA